TTGGGAACTAGAGAAGCTGAGAAACCGAAATTTTATAGAGAAGTTCCCCGTCCACTTAGGTCCCAGCTCTCGGATATGCATTATGCCCACGTACGGACCCGTTTTTAAAGGGTAAGGCATTAATTCGGGAAGCTGAAGAGCTGGAAGACTGTATCTTGAGGAAATGTTTCCCGTCCACATAGATGTTAATGAACTTAAACCCAGGCACCGGGTATGTGTGATACTCACGTATGGACCCGCCAAAGTTTCTTACAGGTAAGTTGCTAACTTAGGGGCTTGAAAAGCTAGAGGATTGGAATTTTAAGGCAGTGTTCTCCGTCCACGTAGGTCTTAATGAGTTTAAAACCAGCCTTCGGACATGCAAGTGCCCACGTACACGCCGGTGAAAGTTTTTTACGAGTAAGTTGCTAACTCGACAATCAGGCGAGTTAGAAAGCTGAAATTTTGAAGGGGTGTTTTCTGACAGTTATGGTGTCCAGTCCCAATTTTTTTAGCTAGAAGCATTTGCCGGAAAAACCAATGCCGTTAGCGACGAAAATCTGCGGGGAACTATGCAAAAAAACGCATCTTTGCAGCTGCATTCGCTGCGCTGGCCATTTGTTTTAGGCTTCTTTTAAACAAATAATCTCATATTGCCGTTCAAGCGGATCCTCCCACCGCATTGGCGCCATTCTTCTGTCTTTCATTTATCATTTAGTAGCAGCCAGTCATCATTCCGCCTTGTTTGTCTGTTGTCACTTACCCTGCCCAGCTCTTCTTGGCATGAAACTGCACTAAAACCGCAACGCTTCTTTGGAAATGTGCTACAACTTGCCGATGTTTGCCATACGTTATTCCTTGGTTCGTTGTGTTAGTAGTAATTTTCTCATCTTAGCAAAAATGGTATTTCAGTTTTCATTTCTAAAGAGAAATGCTACATAAAGCTTGTAAAATGCTTTGCTATGCGTGATGTGCAATTTCTTTATGAGCTTTGAAAAATATTTATGGAAAATGATGATTTTTCGCTATTTTAGAGACTTGTCATACTAAGATGGATTGGTTGATTGGAATTGGAGCTTTGGCTGCATCGGCACTGCTCGGTTACTACATCGGTGTACAGTTCACAAAAAAGAAATGCCGCGTCAATAACAAAATCAGACTTTCCTCCGATAAGGTATTTTTCCTGTATTTAGCTTCGTCAAAATTTAGATCAAGTTTTCAAAGCTTATATTTTTTGTCGAGCTAGCAGCGATTGTGGGATTCATGACCCTGCTTTTTTCGTTCATTAAAAATACACAAGATAGCACCTGCATCTGAATGAGATGGTTCAGCTAGCTAACGTTCAACTTCCTTCAAAACCGCTTTGCCCCGTATTATGCTACAAGTTAGTCGAGTAGAAATTTCTAAGGATATTGGGTTTTCTGTACAAAAATATTCTCAAAAATACATAAAGATGGGTTGTTCAAAGATTCATTGTCGGTTTCTACTGTATTTAGCCGTTTTATTCGCTTTAGGTGGTGGATTCGGTTGATATGGAGGACCTTGGTGCTAAAAAAGTGTTTTGTCGTTGCTGGAAGAGCGACCAGGTTGATGATTTTTGGAATTTTATTCATTTAAAAACTGATCCGTCTACTTGGCTATGACCAAAGGGTGTAGGATTGAAAGGGACTTAAATTTTGCTTGGAGAAAGAAATAAGAGTTAGGAACTACGGATTATATTGGTTAATAATGCGAAGCAAGAAACTATCTGCTGGGCGAAACCAGATAAGCTTGGTGTTTACACTTCAAAGTCTCGCCGAATAAAAAATTTGGTACTTGTGGTAAGAGTATTATTTTTTTGCAGTTTTTCTATAAATGCATGAACGAGTGTATTTTCACAAAAACAGATACATTTTGTGCGGCTGAACCGAGCCGAATTTTAGTAATTATGCGTTTTTTACTGTGTAACAGCAGTACAAAACGCATATTGTCACGGGGTTGCCTGTGTGTTTGTGTGTGTGTGTGTGTGTGTGTGTGTCCGCAGCAACTTGTCCG